GTATGAACATTTTCCTATACATCACTCTTATATATATATATATATATAAAAACAACTTGTATTCTTAAATATAGAGTAAATATTCCAGCTGAATAATAATAATAATAATATTATTATTAGTGTCCCTACATGGAATATCCATAATCCTGTAAATTTAAACTGTGGAAGTTAGGCTATAGTAAGTTTATCATTGCTAAAAAGTTTTGTATTAGTCGTGTATATAGACTGACTATGAAAAACCAATTCATAAGATGAAGTGCAACATTCTCTATGAAAAAATATTTAGAAAAGTCCAGATGAATTTTACTTTTCTGTATTTATCTCAAATTACTAGTGCAATTCTGATAACATTAACACTGAATTATTGATATCTGTAAGTAAATGTGTATGCTAACATATTGGTGAATGCTTTGTATATTGTAGAAGAGAAATATCACCTTCCTTTCTTAAATTAACAAGATTCTTCTTCTCCAAATTTTTTTAATGTTTTTCACTTAAAATAAAGCAGAAGGACATAATTTTCGATCCAAAATTGTTTTATATATATGTCATTATAGGTGACATACTTTGAGGCTACCACCATTACTAAAGATGAATATTTAAAAATATACATTGAAAGGTAACTTTTAGCTCTTGTAAAATGATACTACTTTATTGTTTCTACAAAGAATACTTTGAACTAGAAAAATCTCCCTTTCTTGGTCAAAACTTGCTCTTTATTATGCTTTTCAATACATTCAATAATTTTGAAGTTATTCCGTGGTAAAGAGAGTCTTGTTAATGAGTTGAAAGATATCAGCTGTCACACACACACACACACACACACACACACACACTAACACAATGTATATGCATGTCCATGATACTTCATAAACAGTGGTGAAAAGTTTTGAGATAAATGTACAACTAGAAGTAAATACCAAAGATATTAATATAACTAACATGTGGTTTTAAGCTCCCAAACCCTTATTTTTTTACCAGATTAAGCATATTACATCTCTTGAATAACACTTGTGCACTGCATTCAAATGGCATATCAGACACTATACCTTTGGCTGCTGTAGGTCCAACTCAGCCAACAGTTTTAGTACTGAATGAAAGGCCTCTTGTCAGTGACTTCTAGCAGACAAAAGATAGATCAGAAATGTTATTTTTACGTACTTCTGATCATAAATTATAATGAACTTCTCAGTTATCAACCCTCCTATATTTTTCAGGTTTATTATGGTTTCCATAATGGTGTTTTTGAGTTTATTATAATGAGGTTACATTAATTTCTGATATTTAACATAAAAGAGTCAAAGCTGTACAGAGAATAAATATTTAATCTCTTCAGATTTTTGTAATATCTTTGGATTTGCCTCAGGTCAATATGACATGAATTGTAACAAATCTACCTAATATCTGAACATGACGTGAGTGTTAAGAGGAATGTGATTTTACTAATTGTTTAAATTTTGGGCATTATACACAGTTACATTGATCTTTTCTTTTTGTGTGTGTGTGTGTGTTTATATATATATATTGTTACAGGGGGTTCTCATTATATGTTGGAGTTAGGGACCAGAAAGTTGCAACTCATAATGAAACTGTACAACAGGAAATTTTCACCCATAAGAATTATGGGGGATGTAGGGAACGTAAGAGCGTAAACATTGCCTATGTGATGCAAAGTGGAGCAACTTTTCCTATAAGAAACAATGAAATATGGTATTGAAAAGGGACCATAACATAAGAAAATGTTGTGTTTTATACCTAGTGACCAAAATACTTACTGTACATGTACAGTACCTGTACTATCCTATACAACACATTATGTACACATATTTATAACTAATTCTGAGTTCAAGGACCTTTAAACAGCATTTACATATACCAAACACTTCATTGAAACCATTTTTATGAGCATTTTGAAGCAGCTCTGTACACTTTAAAACATTTTCCTTTTTTAATAGAAAACATATTTGTGACATTTTAAACCAATGACTCAAACAGAAAACCATTTTTAGTGTAAAAAATCACAGAATATTAAACAACATTTAAAAAAGATTTTACCATAACCTTTAATTGTATGTTCTTATCGTGGAGAGTGTATGCATTGTACTTGATTTGCTTGATTGAAGAAGGTGTTGGGAGAGGATTAGGCAGAAGATGAGAATGGAGATGCAGCTGTAATGTCATCAGCATCACTGCCATCTGCCATCTTTATCTGTATAAACACATAGGCTCAGGATTTTCCTTCACTTGAGTCCCAGAAGGGCCTGTTTTGGGTTTTTTGAGTGTTTTTTGTATGTTCTTTGATGTATTATTTAATTAAATAAAAATTATTTAGTGCATTACTGCCAATAGTATAAAAAAAAAGTAGGGTTAAGTGTCATCGACAATAGAAAAGAAAATGATTTTTTGTATGTGAAAGACTTATAGTGTTAACTGAAAGCCAAATTTCGTGAAGATATATACGCTATATTGAAAGTTAGAAGTATTAAATTGATAAAGACTAAACAAGTACAAAGAGGTCACTGGGTTGGTCAAATTGACTGAGCCCATGTTGAAAGAGTTAAACTGAACTGAGTCAAAACTATGAACAACATATCTGCGGGGAAATTTTATGTTGTGTTCCTCAAAAAGTCAGTGACATAAGTGCAAAATAACATATATCACAACGACGTATAATGAGGACCCCCCCCCGTATAACATTTCTTTATCATTGTATGGATTCTTTTAGATTATTTGGTAAAAACAGTACAAAGTCCAGTTCACATAGCAATAACAAATTAATTTATTAAATAAGTGAATAACATTTGTTACAGTATATGCTAACTTGTAGGTCTAACTTCAAACACAATGGTTCAAGTAACATTTATCAGAACTTCCGAAAACTAACACATGTCTAAGTGACAAGTAATGTTTGAAAAGAAATTCTGGGAAAAATTTACATCTGTTTTACATGTAGAACTTGATTTACAGACAAATAGCTCATTGCCTAACTGGCATTGAACTAACTAATTTGATTATCATACTTATTTTGCACTTAGTACAGTAAGCTTCTGGATCATGGCAAAATGATTAGCAAACAAACACCTAAATTAAAACATTGAAAATATAGTTTATAACACTGTCCCCTTTGTGGATTGTGAAGCCCTTTGAACATTCCTAATACACAAATAAAATAGTACATTAAACTGTTCATTCCAAGTCTTTTTGGTGTTTTTCTTTTTCCAAGGGTCATGGTATGCAGACAAGGTTTTATCTTGTCTTGTATCATCCTTTTCTGTCCTGTCACTGGAGCAGTTCTCTCTAGGTAGGTGGATGAGCAAATTCAATGATGACTATATCTTCTATGATCTTCTGGAAAAGGTCTCTACAGGAATCCTGGACTCTTCAGCAGGTTAAGTTTCTGCTGGAAAATTCTCTTCTTAGGTTAACTAGCTCACCATTCACTCACTGACATATCTCCAAAGATGATCACAGTAGATGACATTTGGCTTGGACTGAGTGTCCTTCTGGATTTTGTAAACCACATCATTGATTCTTTTCAATGTGAAATATGGCCTTTCCAAACTCCTGCTTAACTGTGGAGTTCATACTTTCTTGTGTCTGGGATTGTACAACCAAACTATGTTGCCTTGATGAAATCTAGTCTTTTCAGCATTAATATCATAGCAACTTTTCATTTTATTTCTAGCTGATTTAACTCTTCCTGGGTAGAGTTGTGTATGACATCAGTGCTGTTTCTTAATCTCTCAACTTATTTTGTGTATGATGATCCAGAGTCACTAACTTCTGTATGTGGGTAGAGAAGGTCCAGTGGTACTTCAGTTCTCTCTCAAATATCAGTGATGATGGTGTAGTCTCTGTAGCTTCATGTACTGTCCTTTGATAACTCATAAGTAGCAGTAGAAAATCTTGATCCAACATTTTCTGATGTTCATCCACAGAAATGCCTAATTTAAAAGAGTACAGTTATATCTCTTCTCCATGCCTTCAAGAAATGGATAAAGGGCTGTTATTCTGTTGTTTTTTTTTATTGCATGAATCTGATATATTTCTATAAACAAGGTTGGATTAAAGTTCCATCCCTGATTTGAGTGAAGTTCCATAGGCACGCTCCAAACCTTGAAAGAAATTCATTGAAGAGTTTCCTTGTTAGGGATTCTGCTTCCTGGTTAGAAACAGTGTATTCTTCTAGCCATTTGATCAAATAGTCTATCATAAACATGATATATTTTTTCCCATTTTATTGTATGGCAGAGTACCAAGCACAATGACAGCAATCTTCTCAAGAGGTGCTCCAACACGGTGCTGCTTTAGCTACTCATGCTATTTCTTTCTAAGACCTTTCAGCTCACAGTATATTTCACATGATTTACACCAGTTTTTTACACCCAACCCAATATAAGTGCTCTTTTATTCTCTCCAGTGTCCTCTTAAAACCTGAGTATCCAGCTGTTGGAAGGTTGTGGAGATGACAGAGTGCTTTCCAATGTAGAATTTGTGGAAGTACCAACTGTAGTTGTTGTTTCTCTCCACTGGTATTTTGACATTTCTGACACAACAAGCCTGCCCTCTTGTAGGCATGAAATCACTCCATGTCTATTAATCTTCATCTTCAGGCTGTATGGAGTGTGTTTGCCATGAGGGTGTTCCTCCTTAATTTTTAATGCACTGAATACTTGGTTTCAAACTTGTATCTTTTACCTTAGCATCTTTCAGTTGAGTATTGGACCACATTAATTCTTCTTCATTACTTATAAATGTCACATCGTGGATTTATACTCTGATGCACTTCAGGTTGTTCATCCTTACTACCTTGTTCATCCTTCCTTTTACAGTGTTTACATTCTTCATTAATATATGGTCTTCTGGATTGTGCTTCAGCATTTCCAGGGTGATGTATAATGTTAAAGTTATACTCTTGAAATTTATGGAGTCATCTTTCTGTCTGACCTTTTGGATTATAGAAATTCACCAACCACTCCAGTGATGTGTGATTTGTCCAGAAAGTAAAGCTTTTTATATTTCGGTAATGATGGAAATGACTTAATGTTCAAACAACACCAAGTAGCTCTTTCTCAATTGTACAATCTCTCCTCTGCAACATTCATTGCCTTGATATGTTAAGCAATCTGATGTTCTTTTCCATGTTGTTTTTGTTATAACAGTACTTTCTCTGCAAAATTACTAACATCCTTACCTAAATTGAGTGGATTTGCAAAAGTTGGATATGCCAAAACAGGAGTAGGGGTAATTCTTTCTCCAGTTTATTGAATGCTTTCTCACAATCAGTTGTCCAACAAAAGTTGTTTGATTTTTCAATTCATTTGATGTAGAGGATAAGCTATATCGGAGAATGGTTTTTCAAAATGATGATAATAAGAGAACTATCCAAGAAATCCTTTTACCTCATGCAATTTCTGTGATGTTGGCAAATTCTGAACAGATTCAATTTCAGATGGGCCTGTAAACATGCCCTGTGTTCTCCTTATGTGCTTCCCATGTGTGATTATGTTATTCAAGTAGATGAGTATGACATTCCAAGGTACTTAATAGAGAGCACATTCCATTAGTTACTGAAATGTAGAAGATGAATTAATTAATACTAATGATAACAGAACATATTGCCACAATCTCCTCTTTACTTGCTTTATCGATTTGTACTTGCCAACATCCACTCTTCAGAACCAATGTTGAAAACAATTTTGATTCAGATAAAGCATCTAAAGTGGTCAATCTTTGGCAGTGGGTAGGCATTCTTCTTTGTGACTTAATTCATATTTTTGTAATCCACGCAAAACCTTTTGGATCCACCTTTCTTCTTCATACGTATAACAGGTTATGCCCATGGACTAGTAATCAGCTTTATTACTTCTTGTTCCTTCATGGCTTCTATGTTTTTGAAAATCTTAGCTTGTTTTGCTTGTGGAAATCATATAATTAACTGAGGTACTGGGGCTGCATATCCTGTATCAAACCTATGAGATATTTGTTTGGCATTAGTTATGTAGTCCACTGAAGAAGTTATCTTGATATTTTGTGAGCAAGTCATGTAACCTATTGAATTGATCAGATTTAAGACCTGTACAGCTTCATTATATAGCTCATGTAAGTGAGATGGTAAGTTGTCCTTATGGGAAGATTTGATATCAGACTTCCTACATCTTGCCTCAAAAGTGATTACTTGTGATGTTCTTTAATGTGGAAGCATTAACTCTACAGCTTCACATCTTGCAATGTCCCATCCAGATAGGACTCATTTTTATGGTTCATTGTGTTTGTGACCCTAATGATGACATTTTTATTCTTCAGATCCTTGAAAGTTTTTCCAACCATTAATCCATCAGGACATATTGGTTTGTTTGATTATACTACAGCCCAGTCACTAGATGCATATTTATTACTAACAAGTCCTGGTATGAGTATCTCACTTCTTGGTGCTACAATGACTGTTCACCATATTGTTACTGAGAAGTTCAACATTTGGTATAGTAATTGTCATTTAGTCCACAGGGATTTCCTAGTCATTGTCTATGAATATAGCCCAATATTGCATCCATGTCTCTGTGTGAAGTCCATTCCCATTTTTCCTTGATTTCAATTACCCACATATCATGAGGTATAGATAAGTCTTGATCAACATACTGCAAAGCTTCACATCAATAAATCCATTAGTTCCTGCACTGGTTTCTTTAAATAATGAAGTTATCTCATTTCAGACAGATAGAGTATTCTTAGCTGTACTTTGCCTCATAAGTTCAATTCATTCCTATTTCTATATTTTACAGTAAATGGTGTCCTAGGCTGTAATTCTTGGGTGAATGAAGAAAGGTGTGACTGGTTTGATTTTTGCATGCTTCATTCTGTTACTTATGTTGTTTTCTTGCTGCATAATGTAGACATCTTTCTATACTTCAGTTTTGTCATAACTTTTCTGTTTTTTGTTACCATCTTTCTGTACTTTTGGATGTTGTTTTAATCCCATTGTAATTCTCCAATAGATTACCAATCTTGTTTTCAATCATATTTATTTTCGTTCTGTTTTCTATAATTTACTTCTTGATCTCTTTTTTCTAATTTTCTGTAAATTTATTCTTAATCTTTCTAATTTTCTCTCTTCTTCTTGACCTTCTTTTAGCTGTATCGTTATCTCTGCCATCCAGTGACTCATCAGCAAGTCTGAAGGCTCATAAAGCTATAACCAAATTTTGATTTCTGTGATAGACACAATACAGATAGCTCATTGTGTAGCTTGATGCTTAACAGCAAAGCAAACACACCGGCAAATTAATATCTCTTGTAATGTTTATCTTTCTTTGTGATTGAAATTTAATTAATGTTCTACTTTGTTTTCAACAAATTAATCCCACTTTGACATAAGTTTGATAACGTGTTCTTTCATTGGATGGGTTCATTTTGATTATTAGTTAAAATCAGTGGCAAGACCAGTCCACATAATGATGATGGATTAATTCCTTCTTTAATAAGTGGATTACCTTTGTTACAGGCTACATTTACTTGGAGGCCTAATTTCAGATACAACTCTTCAAATAACATTTAACAGAACTTCTGAAAATTAATCTATTCTTAACTCACAAAAGCATTGGAATAACAATTCTGAGACAAATGTTACATTTAACTTACTTGTAAAATTTTGAACAGAGATGCAGTAACTCACATACATAATTATTGAATATAGAAAAAATATTATTCACTTGGACTTCCTGGGTTTAAGGTGTCAGCAATAATTCTTTAGCTTTAGGTTTTGATAAGAACTTTATTGATTTCAGATGTCCAAGTTTAAGTGTTCAAGACTTGTGTTGTAGTTTCTCGTACATGAAAAATTTTTCCTAGAAAAGACTTCTGTATCGATAAGCCACAATAGCTGTGTTATTTAGTGTTTAGTTATTTCTTTTATGTTTTTAATGAAGTCTAAGAAGATGAAGTAAAAAAAAAAACAATAGCATTAGAACTATAACATTGTTTAAAAGTTTCTTAATATTCCATATTCTCATAATATTATATGTAGTATTGGCATAGCATATTCTTTCTGTAATATAGCTTTCAGTAATTTAAAAGGTGTGTCATTTACATATTTGTGGAGTCAAAATGGAGATCACTTATTTTTAGTATTATTTTAAGGAGCGGAAATGGTTTCATTGGGTCTTGCTAAAGGAATGGAATACACAGGAGAATGGGTTAGAAAAGGAGCAGCCATGCTTAGGGAAAAGGTCCCTCAATCTCATCAGCCTTCTACTGTTGACCCTCGAGTTCAACGTGGACTGAAGGTTGCTGTGAAAGCTTCAGGAACTGCTGTAAGAGTCAGTGGATACCTGGGTAATTTTTCTAGTTGTATTAAAATTATAATCTTAACTATCATATTGATTCTGTGTAGTCTGGAATTTATTTCTACTTGGTAGGAAAAGTAATAGTAATATTTCCTGTAACAAGTAACTCAATTTGAGTAATGTGAGTTTAGTAAAACTAATCAAACTTAAATTCATTCCTCCACAGAAAAGAAATATAATCCATTTTAATCTATTAAGTTCTAGTGTTTAGTACAAACAAAGACTCAAAATCACTTATACATTTTGTTACTGATTTAAGCTAAAATGTTGTCTTACATTTCCACCTGCATCATTTAATCTTTTGGTCTAAGATTACTCAGGTATTTATAAGTAACTATTAGAGTTACTTCTGTGATTATCCAGTTTTATTTTGATAAACATTTTTGAAATATATGCTTCTTTGATGAGAGATTTACTAAGTTAGAAATTATGTAAAAGTGAATTCTTTAATTCTATTGATAAAGCAAGTCATATAATTACCTTCAGCATTTCAGTACTAAAGGAAATATGCTCTATTATATGACCCAATTATGCAGACCAAGTTGCAACTTAATATAGGGAAACAAATGGTAAAAGAGAGCAGAGAAACTAAAGAAATCATATCCAGTAACAAGTTAAAGAAAAATATAATTGCAATAAAATCAAACTTCCACTTCATTCTATCCAGTGAAGGGTGTTATTAGCTTTATTGTGTACTTCAATACAAATGAAGTTTTTTGTGTAAAATCAATTATCAAAACCCAATAGACTGCCTGATATTTTAGCTTGATACAGTATCCTATAAACACTTTTCAAGTGAGGCTGTTTACAATTGCAGTACAAGTTATCTAACATTCCTACTATATAGCTAATATTTGTTGATAAGTTGATCTTCATGTAGTCAAATTTTTATCTATACGTAATATTTTGCTTATCATTAGTACTTTCATCTAGTATCATTTCAGCAATCAAATTTCACGATCGATTTTTTGGTGATCCTATCCCTAGTACAAAATATTACCTATTTTGTCTGTATGACAGATGTTAATTTGTACTAATAATCTAAATTAACAATTAGGTGAAAGAGGATAATGTATTGATATAAAACTCTATTTATTTGTATCCTTTACTTAACAAATAATGCTTAAATAAGTATATAAGTGTTTATTAGGGCTAATTAGCTTAACTCTCCCAACACGGGGTTGGTAAATTTGACCGAGTCACTTGACATTTTGTACTTGTTTAAAGTTGATATAAATTTAATACTTATAACTCTCTGTATATTGGGTATATCTTGATGAAATTTGGCAGTCTTTCAGTTAATATCACAAGTCTTTCACATACAAAAAGTCATATTTCTTAGTGTAGTATTTCTAATAAAATAAAATAAGATTTTGTCCATGAATATATTGAGTATTTGTTTTGAATAGTCCGTGTGCAAAGTAATTTTCATGTTAGAATTAAAAATACTTTTCGTCATCTTAAAAATCTCAAATTTCCTTTGTGTAATCCCTAAAATTACCTAAATGCATTTCAAATGTTTTTTTCACTAAATTCTTATAGTTTATATGTTATTTTCTCTACCCTATCTCAAAACCATATGGGTCAATTCAACCGACCTTGTAACCACCAAAAATAATCGAAATAAACCTAAATTAACCTTCTTTTCTTTCTAGAATTACTTCAAATTGTAACATGAAACTACATTCGTTTATCCTAAGTAGCTCTAAGTGTGTAACATTATACATCTATTTATAATTAAATTTTATTGTTTTATTGCCATTTGAACCGTGTCTAACTGCTAACCCCGCCATTATAAGTTGTAAATCACTCAGGGAACGTGCAGTTCACATTACGTTATCGAATTACATTACCCACGAGCTGCTTGCGTGCGTGCCTCATGAACCATTTTAATTATATTATTATTATTATTATTATTACTTATTTTACCTAATCTAGTCTTAAATAACTTTAAAAGATCTGTACTTTTAATATTAGTTACTTTTATAATAATCAATAAAGAATAAATATGAAAAACAAGAAATAAAGTACTTACCCAATCTTCTTTTTTCATGCCCTTGATTGTCGAGGAGAGTTAAGCCTGATTTTTTTAGTGATTATAGTAAAGCAGTTAACAATTTTTATTTAATTAAATAATACATCAAAGAATATAGAATATAATAATGTGCAAAAAGTAGACAAATTCATTTCTAAAAATTTTCCTGGCTTTCTAACTATGCGACTAAAGCCGTTACAAATTCATCCAAGCTAGTTATTAACTTTCCCACGGGAACAATGTTGCTACTCAGAGTGAAATTGATGGTTATCTGTTCATAACACAATGCTATACAATACACTATTTGATAGATGAAAACCTTGACTTTCTATTGGTTATAGGTAATATATAATGAAACGTAAGAGAGAACTATCAACGAATTATGAAAGATAGGATGTGACAAGTGGGTGTGGTAGGAGGGGCCTGATTTTCTATTTGATAGCTCTGTAACCAAACAAAATTGAAGGCTATAAATATTATGGTCTGTTTGAGCAATAACAATTTTATAGAGAGTATTTTACGTTTAATTTCATACTTTTTCAAGGGGTGGTGGATAAAACAGAGAAGATAGAGAAAATGTGTCACACTAGGGCTAATTCATGATTTTTTTAAATATTGCCTTGTAAAAGTAAGAACTTAAAAAAACTTATATACTATTAAAATAGGAATTATTAGCCAAGATTTTATGCTATTCCAACTGGTGTAACATAAACAAAAAGTAGTTTAATAAAATTTTGAATGTAAGACACTAAAACTTTGTGTCATGTGCAGTAAAGTGTACCCGGGCCAATAGGGTTAAATCATATATTTTGAATCTTCATATAGTATCATAACTAAGGTATCATATAGTCAGTAAAATCCTTGATTGCTCCAATAGTTAATTGCCATCATATTTTATCTATTTTTTCTCTTACGTTTTTGTTAAAGTTTCACTATACATTTCTTTTGTTTATCACCAGTCAGTTAATGTTCCATACTGGGAATTCAGTTAAGTAGATTGTCACAATAAATTCAAGGAAAAGGAGTGTTAATAATATCAATTCACACTACCTTTCCAGTCACACCATACAGATATGGTCACTTGAGACTTTCAACATCAGACTTATAACACAATCTAAATGAAGATATGGGTTTCTGAGTTACACAAAAATTTACATGAGTGGTAGTGATATTATGACTTTAAACTGTGCCTTTGAGGATCAAAGACATTTGGTTAACCTACCAAATTTCTCTTAGTAAGTTAACTTGGTAGGTTATGATAGACAGTACACTGTAAACTCAAACTAATTGTTTTAACTAAACCTTGCATTTTTTGCATAACTTTCTTATCTCGGGAGTCAGTGTCTGATGTTATTGGGAAAGTATTAATAAAACCAAGAGGATGCTTAAGTAATTTTTTCTTAAGCATCTTTCAATTCTTAGTAGTATTGTTCCAGTACTTTATGCAGCTTCATATACCTGTTTAAATGGACTTTCATATTTTTTGGAGTGATATGAGGCAGAAATGGTTCTGTCAAATTGACACTGAAGGCAATTGTTTGTCTATATTGATTCAAGTATAAAAAATACTTGTACTAACTAGTTGCTTATTATGTATGACTTACTTTTTTGTCATCACTAAAAAAATTCTAATTTTAAGATGGGTGGGGGAATTACAGTTAGTAACCTGAAAAGCTGACTATAACAGTTTAATAAAAGTGGTTTATCATGGAAGAAAACTCACAAAATATTGAATAAGATATTTTAATTTCATATTTTCAAAGGCAGATTTTTTTTATTTTATGGTATCAAGTATCCAAGTTAGGGAAGCTTACAATGGCGCTGGGAGAATGGGCTGTTCCTCATATTAAAAACCAAGGCAGCAAAGTTCTGTCAAAGACGTTACAAGTGGATGTTCTTGATTCCAAAAACTCTATGGATGATGTACTAATAGTAGCAGCAGGAAGTGTAGCAGGTGAGAACCGAAAGAATCTGATATTTCATCTCTAACTAATTAACTTTGTAAATTTGTTAGGGTAAGCATTTGTGTTAGTTGTATAGACACGTCCATTTTTTTAGCAGCCTGTATGTGTACAAACATTGATATATATGGCGAGATACATTATATATATATATATATATATATATTATTTCATATTCATCTTTAGTCGTTATTTGGTAAAACTACTCCATTAACACTTAGGTGTAACTACTAGTTACCGTAATTTATAACCAACATATTTATTCTTTATCCTCTGTACACTACTCCTCAACACCTAGTGAACTCTAGTTACTGATGTGTAACC